CATATCACATGGAAGCATCTGATCTTCTACTACTTAGGCGCTGGGAATGTTTCGGGCGGGCGGTTAGGGGTGTGGGACAATTTATTGTCACCATTCATAAGTATTTCTTTTGTGTGTTTCAATGTTTTTATTTAAAAAATAAAAAGTAAGTGCGGGAAGAATTTATGAAGAGAACGCACAAGTCTACAATAAATTGTGTTTTACATGCGGTTCAAGTGCGTTCCATTTTTTTTTTTTTTTGGAATTAAAAAAATCTGCAAATTTTATGTTGTTATATTTTGTCAATTTAAACACTTAATATTAAAATTATTTATTTTTGAAAAATTTAAAGTGTTACAAAAATTTAATTAAARTTTAATAATTATAATATTCATCCTRCACTTATTATCGTCACCATTCAAACATTATTCCGCACTGCACTTGAACCGTACTGCACTTCTTAAACTGCTCTTTTCCGCACCGCACCTCTTAAACCGCTTGTTCTGCACTGCCCAAAACGCTGTCACCCTTCAAAACCTTAAATATTTGATGATTTCATTAGTAGATCATTAATTACTTTATAGCTCCAGATATGTAGAGAGGATCAGAGGAATATTACTTTATATTTTTGTCCAATAGCTAGATTTATTTATCTTTATTTTAAGCCAAACAAAAGTTCAAAGATACTATTTATTAATGAAAAAGACGGTAATGATTGAACCAAAAAAATTGTGACATTAATATACAGTCCAATAAATTATGTAAATAGTAAAAAAAATGGTCATGGAATTCATGTGAATAGTAACGTGTGGGACACATAGTTACTAATAAAATGCGATACATAACAGAAAAAAAAAAGATCAATACGATACTTTCCGTTTTATATCAAGTGTTGTTTTGATTTTCCTGAACCTAATTTGATTCAAACAGATTCTGGTTTTTGTTTTGTTTGATAATTTAGGGATGTTATTTCACCGATTAGTAATAACAATATGAGATTCAATCCAAAACTCCTCTTGTTCTTGAAGAAAGCCTAACAAGAACAAGATTCAAGAACAACACATCACACATTGTAAATGTGACAAGTCCTCGTTTACAATCTTCTTGTCTTCATCAAAATGCCTCCTTAGTCCTTACACATTGTTGATGTGACAAATCTGTGTAAGAACTCTGATCACAGATTTGTCGAGATTATGTTTTGTGTGAAAATTGTTGTGGGAAGTATAGCTTTTACATTTTCGATTTAGTCAGAGAAAAGAACGAAACAGAGCTCGAAAACGTCTTTGTTTCGCAGTGTTTTAGATCATATGTTGTCTAACCCTTTTGTGTTACTTTTGAATCTCTGTATCAAATGATTCTGTAACAAAAAAAAAAAGAAGAGTCATTTTGCAAATTCTGAAAGATCAATCTATGCATCATTGTTGTCTTGTATGTTCAATGCGAATTTAATAGATTGTAGCTCATGTAGAACATCTTGGACCCCTTGGCTTATATCTTCAAACTGCTGTTTCGGTATTTGATATGTCACTTCACCTCCTTCGCCGACGTGTTCCTGCAGTGTCACCATCTCTTCTAGACGTGATTTCACATTAGCCTCGCAGATATCGAGTTGAGTTTTATTCGGTGATTCTTCTTGTTTGGAAGCTACTATGCTTCTCTTGACAACAGAGTTATCTCCAGCTGATGAATTACCACACGAGTTAGGAGATTTTGGTGACTTCTTCGTCGTTAAAGAAGGAGAATCAGAAGAAGATTGTGACTTGTTCAGTTCTTCTGAAACTCGCGGGCACGGGGAATTGTTGTTACCACCAGAAGATCTCGGTGACTTCTTTCTCGTTGAAGAAGGAGAACCAGAAGAAGTTGGTGATTTGTTCGGTTCTTTTGAAACTCGCGGGCTTGGGGAGTTTTTCTGACCACGCGAGTTTACATTTTCAAGAGATCTTGGTGACTTCTTCCTCTTTAAAGGAGAACCAGAAAGAGATGATGACTTGTTCGGGGTTGGCGAACTGTGGTTCTTTATGTAGTTATCTCGCTTGGGAGGAAGAGAAACAGATGATGTATGTCTTGGAACCCGAGGAGATGAGCTCGATTGTTTGGCAATGTCTGCTACGCGAGGTATCCTTCTCGGTTTTTTGACAGGAGAATCTGCTAAAGGAAAAGCAAGAATTCAATCGTATAATCAACGGAATCAACAATGAGATTTGAACATGAGAGCACATCATTTTACCGGTTTGCTTTGGCGAAAGTGTATGTGGTTTGGATGGAGATCTCCCAGGTGATGAACCAGGAAGCTGAAATGTGACATGACCCTGACCCTTTGTTCCTCCTGATTCCCTAAGAGCTCCTTTAAGATCCTTAACATCATCCGCTACTCTTCCCGAGTTTTTATCAGGGCTCTTTGTCGACCCTGGTGATGATCTCTGGACCCATTCAGGCTTCTTTAATGGCTGCTTAGTCACTTGCTCTGAACCCGTAACAGAAGTTCCTCTCTTTGTCTCCATGTCTGGTTTAAAGGTTTTCGACTTCCCTGGGGACAAAGATGCTGCCTTTGTTGTTGTTGTAGTCACAGGTTTCTGTTTCGGAGATGAAGCCAGAAGCTTGTTGGAAATTCTCTTAGCCTCGGCCTGCAAAACCGCAGCAGAAAGCTTCCACCACCTAATGTACCCAACCGTAACATCAGCCTCGTGGAGCCGAGCAGGAATGTACAACATTTCATCAGAAATCGGACGGATATAATCTTTCCAGGCCAATTCCGGCGTCTCAAATCTAGCTGGAACTACGCCGGGAACATCCTGATCATAACCAAACTGCAATCCAACACGGTGAGGATAATAAGGTTCAACGCAATCCAAACCAACCAGTTTAGAGAACCTCAAACAACGACCAAACGCTACAATGTTCTCATCAGATCCCACAGAGATCCAACAATCATCTTCCAAGTAAAACTTTGGGAACTTGAAGTTACTCAGAGGCTTTGTGTATGGACGATGGTCGAAACTCTCTTTCGCCGAGTCCAAAACCGCTCTTACATTCTCAGGGTAACGATACGCATCGTGACCGCCACCATGTTGGTGCCATCTCGCAATCCGCGGTTCACCGTGTTTTAACTGGCTTGGCTGACCAGGTGGCTGCAACTCCATGAACCTCTCCAAAGCCCAAACCTGCACAAACTGAAACGGAGACTTCACCACAACCGTCTCTTTCTCACTATAACCACCTACATGCTCCTTTAAAACACCGAGATCTCGATAAATCCCGGCTAAAACCGCTGGAGCCAGAGCTAACTTAACCCCATTAGCGAGCTGAATCGCAGCCGGAAACAACTTATCCCTCAACAAATCACCCGAATTCGGAAACACGAATCGAGAAAGCCACGAAACCATAAACGCTTCATGCTCAATCTCATTCCCTGAGTTCATCATCTCTTTCATCCACAAGCTAACACAACATTTCTTCTCCGAATCCGCCTCGATCTCCCGTTTCGCCTTCTTCATCTTCTCCTCAACTTCCTTCAAACCTTCTCGTTTAATCGGAGCCAAAGCATTGTTCCCAATTACAGAGAATCCACCAAGAACAATCATATCCTCTAATGTCACCGTAGCTTCACCCCAAGGAAACACAAACGTATTCGTCTCTATACACCATTTCTCAACCAAAGCCATCATCAAATCATCTTGCTTCTTAATCTGATACCTAGAAGCCATAATCGCATCATGAACTCCAGATTTCCTCCACACCGTCGCGTGTGACTCAGCCATAGCGTTAACCCACTCGATCCAGTTCAACGACGGAGATCCCCAACCGGAAAACGAAATCCTCACCGTAGATTTAACCGGATCAATCGATTCCGGACGGTAAGCGAACGCGTCTAACGGAAGCTCGAACACATCGTCGTCGATAGAGGCGGTTGTGTAGTTTAAGAACCTCGCCGTTCGTAAACCTTCGAATTTTTCGCCGTCTGGACACATTAAAGCTTCTCTGATTTGAACAATCCGTTCATCTTCTTGATCGGAAGATCCTTGAGACTCCATTTTCGATCGGAATT